GATAAATGTGGGAAAGGTACATTGTGCTGGTACAACAAGGACTTTTTAAAAGAATGCCGCAGGTCTGGCAGGCCAGGGGTGTTATTTTTGTGTTCAGACCAGTCGAAGAGGGTGCGGTCTAGGTGACCTGTTGCTACAAGCCAACCTAACGGAGTATCCCACACCAAGCAGGGAGAAGGAAGCGGGTGACTAGGATGATGCGGTGGATTCCCGGCCCAGCCTTCCACCCCCCAGATGGTTAGCTTTGTGGGGTTCTTAAACCCTTCCGAAGTAACAGGGCAGCTTGGAATAGAGCATCTTTACAGTTCTATCCAAATGGCACTGAATCCTCATTTGCTGAATCGTTGGCCTCACAAGCACCGCGACGGGTGTCAGCTGAGCCGGGACGCAAGGCAGAAGCCCGCTTCAGCAGCAGCAGGAAAAGAGGTCTGGGGATGCAAGGAGGCGGCATGATCAAGTAAATTTGGAAACCAGTGGGAGAGAACCCTCGTGCGTAATAACTGGTCCAGGATGAGTTGAGCCGAGAGCAGAGCTTTGCTCCTAGATGGCCTTCCGGAAGCAGCTCAGTGCCTTCACAGCCGGGCTCCTGAGACAGAACAACGTGATTTTCAACTGGGTTGCACAATATTCTGCGGAACTCTCTCGGCACCATGCTGAAAGCGCAGGTTTTGCTCCATTGGACTCCTGCCACAGAGACCTTCAAAAGGGATGTGACAACAGTGTTCTTCAAGGTGGCGCCCCCTTGCAGTTCTAGGAGGGCTGTGGCCCCCTCTTCCAGCCACCGGAAGCATTTAGGGGTCTCGGCTGTGGTGGATTCCAGACAGTTTGATGTGGCACTAATTAAAGTTCCTGCTGCCAATTGGCTTGACATCTTTTAATTAAAATAAATGCTAAACTCCTTGAAACAAATACGTAGAGAACTTAAACAAGCCCTACCTTGCTCCCCAAGGAACAGAAAACACACCAACACTGGCCTATAAATGCTTACTCTTGAATGGAAGAGAAACCACTCAAGGTCACAGCCAAGAGTTATACAGAGAAGTATCCAATGTCTGCTTCAATGATGGGGCAAACAGCCTGTACTTGCCAGCTGTATTTGACCACAAGTCCCTGACCACCGGCCGTGCTTACTGGAGCTGCCGGGAGGTGAAGCCAGACGCAGGTCGTCAGACTGCCTCCTCCTGCCCTGAAGCTTTCTTGTAATTGTACGGCCCTCCGAATATTGTCTGAGGCGACCATCTCTGTGGTCACAAGGACAACGCTGACCTGGAAGCTTTTATAAGGTGCCAAGGAGCATCGGCTGCCCCCCACTGGCCAACGGGAACTCTTGGCAGCTTCCTCCAGCGCCTAGGATAAGATGCAAGTGCCAGACAGAACCCCTCCTGATATCCCTCACACCAGGGGCCATTGTGGGCCAGAGCCTGGCATGGGATCACGCGCATGTAAGTTCAGGGGGTTTAATGCGGCATCCACAGAGGAAGGCACAGTTTCCTAGAGGTAGAAAGTACCGCTAAAGGTCAGGAGCATGCTGGGAGAGCAAGGAAAGCCGGCCACCACCTTGTGGACCCATGGATGAGCAGGGTCCATCTGTTGCCAGCGAGATCCATTCGGGCTCTTTGGCTACCAAGATGTTTTCCTCCTGAATGTCTCCCGAGCATCATATTTTAGGCCACCGAAGTGGTTCCAGAGCCTGGAGAGCAGCGGCCGTTGCCCTGCTTGGAGGTTTGAAGGCTGGCTCTGCCTTCTTCCCCAGGAGGCTGTCTTGCCCTTCGACATGGTGCAGAAAGGAAAGGGGACAGCCACAGCTTACAGATGGCCATTCAGCTGCCCTGTTCTAAGGCCCAGGTCATCAGAGGCGCCTTCGAGGGCACAGGGAGAGCCCTGCTGGATACGGCCAGGGTTCACCTCACCCAGCCCTGTGTTCACACAGCGGCCAACCCTCAGCCATCGCAGGAGGGGGTGGAATGCCCTACGGGGGTCAAACAGCCGCCCGGCTTGCCTTGTGCACAACCTCTCCTGGCTGGACGGACCGGTTGCGATGGTCTCTTGAGAGCCGTATGATCCCGCTGGATGAGCCTGGGCTGATCACGGAAGGTGCTCCTCCTGGAGCACAGAAAGCCCAAGCTTTGCCTAGGCGTTCTGAGCGAATTTTACTTGGACACGGCGCTCGGCTCAATTTTTTTGTGGCAGGCAGGTGAGTTCTCCTGGGGAGCAGTTGGAACAAGCAGCCGGTGTGTATTACAAGGGCCGAACGAGAGTGCACAGCTGCCGGCAGAATAATGGCGCACACTTGGCACACACATGGGAGCAGGTGTGCACAGAGGGAGTCATAGCTGGGATGCAAAGCGAGCTGGCAGACATCCCTTCCTGCTGGAGGTTTGAGTCCTCCGGCATTATTTGGGGGCGCAGCTTAATTGTTCCTCTCCAGGATCTCATGCTGAGGAGGAGGTGAACTTGCCCAAGAGAAGCGGAGTGGAGCAGCAGCTTGGGTGAAACTCGGGCCCCTGCTCCAGGCGAGGAAGGGAGGGCATGCCAGAAGCATGGAGAGAGGCTCACCACCCGGAGTTCTGTTCCAGGTCTAGGCCCATCAAGCCCCCCACGTCTGCACCCAGCCCAGTGTTCTGCTTCCGACAGGGGAAAGCCAACCCGCAAGCCAAGCTCAGCACGAGGGCGGTGCACACCCCTCTTGCATCCCCACCACCAGCACCCGATTTTCAGAGCATGCAACCTCTGCAAGTTCCAACTAGCCTCAATGCCTAACGTTTACATTAGCGTTTAATGTAGCTATACACTGGGGATCAACCCTGATATTTAAATCAGGGATTATATCCTTCTTGAGGACAGAGTCTATTTCCACCCGGATGAAATATGTACAATTGGGTAATATCAGGACTATTATCAGGGCTTATTCATGGCCGGCCACATTGCGGAGCAAAGGGTTAGGGTAGCGACGGGAAGGGTGGAGCAGCAGGCAGGGGCAGCTTCAGCAGCAAGCAAAAGACCCCCCCCCCCCTTTATAGGGAATTCTACTGCACCAAGCAGGAATGCTGTGGGAGGAGCAGGTGCAGGGAAGCAAGGAGGCTGGAAAGGGGAAGAGGGTTCTGTGAGCTGCGCCCAGCGGGAAAGGGACGGAGGGCCCGCCGGGGCTCCCGGCCTCAGCAGCTCACCGGAAGGCTGGCAAAGCTGCAGAGACGGGGGCACGGAGGAGCCCGGCTGGGCTTCAACCAAGCACTGCTGCGGGGGCCAGCAGATGCTCTCCTTGGCCAGTTGCAGCTGCAAAGCCAGTGGGCGCCCACTCCTGAGGCGAGTCACGCCGTTGCAGCTCGGGTTGCCTGAGCAGTGCTGTGCCACCCCTGAGCAGTGGCTGAGGGGGTCGCCCTGCTCTGCCGCCTCCTACCAGCAGGGGCTGCTCTGGGGCAGAATGCACCCCCTGGAGCTCTGTGGAGGAAATGTGTCATTCAGGGTCACCCAATTTATCTAACGCTCTTCTTATCCATCTCTCACCCCACACACGACGTTCTCCATCCATTCCCTGGCCTGAACAGGGGCATGTTCACACTCTCAAAACCCCTCCGGAATTTCACTTCTGTGCTGTCTGAGGAGAGTAAGCCGATGGAGCAGACCTGAGATCCTTTTCCACAGAAATGTCTGCCGGGAGAAATGTCTGCTATTGTAGGAGCAGAAGTGCAAACACACACCCCCAGCGCCACGTCATTCTTTGCACCCACAGGCTAATACAGACACGCACACGTATGGTTCACACGTCCACACAACACCACACAACTGCACCTATTCAAGAAATCATCCAGAGAAGTTGATTGTTTACTGCTTTTTTCCTTCCCAAAAAGTTATTTTTCTTCCCCTGCCCTTACAAAACATAGTAAAACATCGTACATTTGGCTACCATGAATGCCTCCACCGCAGCAGTCTGCTAGAAATGGAACATCGCGCTCCAAATTGAAAAATGCAACGGAATAACACTTAAAAAAAAGCCAACCAATCGAAATCAAGTCAATAAAGAAATTCAATCATCCATCAGGTTCCAAATACACATTTAACAACAACTGCCTCTGGTCAGGGCGGATAATCTTCATGGATGCCTTTTTCCCTGGTGAAAGTAGTGAAATGTGGCAGGATCACATCTCATGAGTCGTGAGATGTGTTCCCTGGTTGTGTGTGGGAGAAAGGGGCAATTTCGGCATGCGTCGCATGACCCCAGTGCTGCTGCTCGTGAGTTCCTGAAGGATCTCACCCTCACCCCATAGAGGAATGGGTCAGAGAATGAAATGGGGATGTGGAGCAGGGTCGCATCAAGGCAAAAGAAACTCGGTTCCTGAACGCGTTTCTTTGGGAGGAACGAGTCGCACAGGGCTGACTTCTCAGAAAGTGCGCTTAGGCTGCAGCTGGAAAAAGAAACATGGGGTGGGGCGGGGAGGCGATGCCCTTGTTAGAAACAGCCATAAAAACAATACAAAAGTAAACGGTGCCAGGAGGGCTGGGGCCAAAGAAGGGTTCTCCGGGGGGCGTTTTGGATGCTCCTGCGGGAATCCTCTCCAGCCCTTTTGCTGCTCCTCTCTCCATCCTTCTCTGGGAGCTCCTGCAGAACAGGCGACCGGAGCACAAAAGCCAGGTCGCTCTTGCCCCCATCTCCCCAGCGGAGCCCCCCCCCCCCCCCCCCCCCCCCCCCCCCCCCACCTCCAGCCCCTCTCCTGCATCTTTCATGAGCCTGTGCATGTTCCAGGCATTCTCCTGCTGGGGAGGAGGAAAAAGTCGCCTCTTCGGCATCCGAAGCAAGATGCAGCGGCAGCCCCACGGCTCGGCCTCTTCCGGAAAACATGGTTTCAGCAATTTCATTCCCATCCGCTGGCATCTGGATGGCTGGTCCTTGCCACCCGGCCGAAGCGCTCAGCTGGCACGAAAGTAAGGCCTTTGGAAGTCTCATCTTCTTCTTCCCCAGCCTTCCTCCGGGACGTGAGAGTCGCTCTGCCCGGCGCCCGCAGCTAGCTGCACAGCTTCCCCGTCTCGTACTCCACTGGGTTTGGCAGCTTGGCGTTGAAGGCCTGCAGGGTGGACTGGATTCGACTTACCTCGCTGTTGGCCAGCTTGAGCCTGTGCCGCAGCAAGCATGAGAAGAGGTCCAGGCGAGTCTTCCCGGGCGGGGAGAGGCGGTTCACTCGGTCCCGGATCTCGATCAGCTGCAGAATGGCGGAGTCCTGCGAGCCCTGGGTGTACGGATAGTCCAGCTGAAGGACGAGGTCCCGGATGGCATCCGACTCGAACGGCAGGCTGTAGCCGAAGACCTGCAAGCTGTTGATCCGCATGTAGCCCAGGTTCTTGGAAGGATCCGTCTCCAAGGGCTCGTAGAAGATGGTTTCGTTGGCGCTGTCGTTGAGGGACCGGATGCGGCTCCGCAGGTAGACATGGACCGTCTCGAAGAAGGTCTTCCACTTGTTGCCTAGCATGAGGGTCCAGTTCTGGCAGTGGCCGGAGCCATCAACAGTCGTCCGCTCCCAGTCGGGAAAGCCGCTCTCGTTGGTGGGCATGAACCAGCTCTCCGAGTGGCTGCCCCCGAACGGGTTGACGTAAACGGCCATGACTGGCTCCAGGGTGCTGTTCCGGGTGAGGCAGATCTGGAGGGAGAGGGCCAGCATCAGGTGCACCAGGCTCGGCTTGTACTTGTTGCTCTTCAGCGTCACCAGCATCCGCTTCCTCCAGGAAGGGTCAAACCAGGTGCCCAGGCGCATGTCGTTGCTGATGAAGATGGAGTGCACCTCAACGCGGCTGTCCCGCTTCTGCAGGAGGTACTTGAGCTCCAGGTCCTGCAGGTCCGTCTCCAGCCCCAGGTAGTGCTCCAGGGGCTCCGCCACCTCGGGCCGGCACAGGCCCAGGGACAGCACGTAGCCCACGTTGCAGGAGCCGCACTGGGTGGCGTTGTCCTCCGCGCAGGAAGCGCATCCCGGCCCATCGCCCACGGTGCAGGGGAGGGTCCCCTGGCAGGAGGGCTGGTCCGGCGGGCAGGTGCAGCCCAGGCTTTCCTCCACAAAGGTCCCGGGCACGGGGGTCTCGCTGCAGTAGAGGAGAGACTGAGCGCGGCTCCACCAGTGGGTCAGCGGCCTAGGAGCGGGAAGGTACAGAGGAGGACGTTAGCAGCCCTTCTCCAGGGAAACGCTCCAGGTGGAAATAAACCTGGGCGCCTCTCTGAAATCAGCCAGAATTGCAAAAGCGGAACCTGACATTGAATGCACAGGCCGAACATGAAAGTGTTGCTCGGGCGTTTAAAAATGGTTCATTTTATTTCATGCGTACATTTTTGAAGCACGGCTTCCCCCACTTTGGAAAACGCAGCTTTGCATGTCTAAGGTGCACCTTGTGAATCCCAACACAAGTTTGGGAATTTGGTGACGTTGCTAGAGAGCGTGTGCTCCCATTTGTGCTCGCACGGAGGGGTGCAATGCGACATTTTTGACCCATTTGGAAACTGAAATGAGCATCTTTTCCTATTACTGTACGGAGGCAAGAACTGTGAAAAATTCCTCATGGCTGGAATGTCTATCAGGCCAGATCTCCTCTTCCGAGACTACCTCTACAACCACCTAAGAAAGGGAAGTCCTAAACTTGAAATGCCTTGATCATTTGAGAAATACAGCTTAGACTTTTTTTACTTTATCTACTGTCAAAATATCATCACATATTAAGTATTCTTACCTGTTAGTTCCAACCATCAAGCATAGTCAAACACTAAATGCAGGTAAACAATCAAACACAGCCACATCAGCTGTCAAACAATGGGATTAACTATCTGATGTCAAATACAAATTTCAGGTATTAGCAAATATTTGGGCTGTCGGACTACATCTGGAGGACATAAAACCCACGGTGGAGAATTAGTAGAGTATCTGGAAATCCATTTGCTCCAGCTTTACGTGGGATTAGCCTGCTTTCTGCTGAGCTGGAGCGTGGCCAGGGCGGGCTCACCATTTCTGAGGCCCCGCTGGTTTAGGCCATCCAGGGCAGACCTCAGCCAAAGCTGCACGTGTGTCCCAAAAGGGAACACTTTTCCGGGTCCATCTGGGGGTGGAAGGGGAGTGGGAGATGCCTCGGTGCAGCCCCAGCACCCTAAGCGGCCTCTCTGGGCCCCCGGTGCTGCTGGAGCTTCACCAGTTGAGCAGCCAGAGGGGCAGGAAATGGCATCAGCGTCCGGGGGGGCAGCCATGGGTGGAGATGCAGGTCCACAGAGAGGGGGCCTCCCCGGATGAATGGCGCCTGGGCGCCGTCCCGCCAGGTCAACTGGCAGCTTCTTTCCCATGGATCCTACAGCACAGGATAGCATGCCAAATTCAAGCAGCGCTCTGGTGCATTCCGTCTAAAACGAAGGGTCTGAGTGCTGAAATGGGCCAGGGAGCACGCCTGAAAGAGAACGGATAGAAGCCTGGTTTGATGTTTAGTACCCAAACAACCTTGAAGCAGGGATGAGGTTCCAGAACCTCGCGGCTGCCCTTTGTCAGCATTCACCGCAGCCAACTCGCTCTACAAGCACCAAGGGAGCAGGCAATGCCGGGCACCCCCTCCCACTGGAGCACCACCCCGAGTGCTGGCTGAGCCCTCCCCCTCGAGGCCAAGCCTGCCACGCATCCCTCGGCAGTAGCCCAGGAGTTGTGGATTGTGCCTGAAGGAGCTGCACCCCGGTCCAGGGCCCCTCATCAGGCAGTCACCGAAGGCGCCGGCACAATCCAACAGGTCGTTCCCCCCGGCTCATTGCTGTAGCACACCGATGGGCAGCCAGCCGGCCCTGTCCGTGCGACCCGCTTCTGGTGGGCATCTTCCTTTTCCTTCCAGGCTCTCAAGGCACAGAGGGCAGGCACGCTGGGATTAAAGCATGCCACGGAAAGGAAACCCATGTGATCTGGGGATTGCTGGATTCCAAGATAGCAGGGCTCCGAGCCCCTTTCTGGAAATGAGTCTCAGCAACAAAAGAAAGGCGAAATGACCCAGGGCCCCTCAGGCACATCTTGGGGCCCTCGGATGAGAAAACGACAGGAAGCCTTCCTGGGAAGCTCCCAGCATGGACGGGACCCGCTCTGGGCCTTCCTTTAGAATAGGAGGGGGGCAACGGAAGCTTTTCGGCACCCAAAACAGTACTGGGAGGATGTTGCTCTTGGCAGTGTTAGGGGTTGGGTTGGAGGTCCGAACTGACTTTACACTGGGGGTGGGGGGGTGGGGTCAGATTGCCAGAAACTGTCCATTCCTTCCATTCGCCAGAGTCGGAGTGGCGTGGTGCCTGAAACACTTCATGCTCTTCCCCTGGCCCTTGGATCCCGGCCCTCGAGAGATGCTTGGCCTTGGATTTTTAAACAAGTTACCCCCCACCAGCGATTCCTGGACATGTTGCTCGCATTTCCATCCTGGCTCAGCCTCTTTGGGTGAGAGCTGAGCACCCAATCTGGGAGCTGCAATCCAGCGATGCGAATGAGTTGTGAGGGGTGACAGGGCTGAATGCTTAGTTGAACATAATGACAATACCAGAAAGCGACATTTAAGGAAGTATCAATCACTGTGCAGATTGTTTTTAAAATCTGAAAATCAGTATGGAAGAGGAGACTTTTCCTGCTTGCAACTTGCGAGTTCAAGCCTTCCATATGCTTTCGCCCTGGTGTTTATGCTTTTATGGTCTCTACAGTGCAGTCTGAGGAAAGGGTTTAGTAAATTAACTGGCCCAATTTCCATTTTATGTGATTATTAAAAATCTATAATTACTAACAGTGTATATAATTGTGCATGTATTTACATCTTTATTTACATAAAATATGCCGTGTGCATGTTTTAGCTCAAAACGTTTTGCCTTTGTCAAAGCATTCTGCCGCCCCTAATAATTATTCTTTTTCCTTTTCCAGAGCTTGTGCCCCTCCAGATGTTTCGGCTTACCACTCCCATCAGCCCTGGCCAGAGCAACACTGGAAGCTGCAGTCCAAAGGATCTGGAAGGACACAGGTTGTTCATCCCTGCCTCTGGATCTCTGCTGTTTTATGGTACGCCAGCATGAAAGGCAAGCGGGAAAATGCGCTGTCCTTTCCATTCCTCACTGGAATGGACGTTGGCCATAATCGCACAATGGGTATCCCCGCTTTCAGATCTCAGGCACCAAATGGACATCAACAGTTGGCAATATGCTAGTTTACCCTGTGCAGGGAAATTTGCTTTTACATGGAAGCATGTTATGAAGATACGACATACTGGCATCCACACCTCCTCCCTTCAGACCCCCACTGCTCCTCGCTCTGTCTTTCACTTCCTTCTGCATAACTTGTAGAACCTCTCCCGAATTCTCACGGATTGCAATGATCAGCTCCAATTCCAATACTTCTCTTAAGGCCTCCCCAAAGCAACTGGTTGCACCCCACCCTGAGCTTGGGCCTGCTGAGCATCCCAGACCCCAAGGCCCAACTCCCGTCTTGGATGGGGGCCAGCGAGGCACAAGTGGAAATGCACCGGACCTCTCTTTCAGAAGCCTGAAGCGAGGTTGCCTGCGGCAGCGCTTGGCCAGGTTGAAAAGGCGCCGGACAATCCGGTGGGTCTTCTTGGACAGCATCTTCAGCGTGGTGCCCAGTTTCTGATAGCGGTGCTGAATATCCAGATCCATGGCCCAAAACTGGGAGAGTGCCGTTGAGTTCAAGAAGCGGTCTGTTGGAAGCTTCTTCACGAAGGACTGGAGTTCCTCTGCCAGGAAGGGAAAGGAATGTCAGCGAGGAGAAGGCATTGGGAAGCAACACCAAGATGGCGCAACTTCTTTAAGAAAGAAAGGGGATGGCCAACTGGCATTCCTTCGGGCTGCTGGAGGGCAGGCAGGGTCTCTCCCAAGAACACCCCACACATGGGAAGCTCCCATGGGGCGCAGGCGAGAGTTGATCGGGCCTTTCCTTTAGCAACCAGTCATTGTCCCAAGGGATTCGGGGAGGAAGGGCCCACTCGTGTGTGGAGGACAATAGCCTTCATCTCTCACCTCCACTCAGCAATGCTTAAATCATTGCTAGCTTGCAACAGATTTACGAAAGCTGACATACCGCGTTTGACTTAGGAAGAGGAGAATTCAATACCCCCACCCCTAGAAACCCTGCACCTTGACAGTCTTTGGAAATTCATGCTGCACTGGGAAATAAATTATTGGAAAAACAATTTTACTTGGATAAATGTTATTGAAGATGAATCCAATATTTTGCATCTTGTTTTAGGAGCTGTGATATTCACATACATTTTATAAACTCTGTAAGTATCGTGCATTTGATGTAATTGTATTGACCGCCATGTTTTTATATGAGCTCATATTTAAAATGAATAAAAATGTCTTCATCCCTTACTGAAAATGAGGTCAAGTACATGCAGCTCAACTGAACGTGCAGTTTTCCTGCTCAATTTTCCCGGCTGCCACCTCCCTCTGTAACATCTTCCAGCATGGAATTGGATGGAGGCACAGAATGGAAGGTCAGTTCCAGCCCTTCCTTGGTGCAAGGAAGGATGTGAGCACAGTGCTCCTGAGAAGCAGCTGCCCATCTTCCGAACCAACCACCCTCTGGGGAATAAGCTTTGGAGGGGCAGGCCTGCCCTTTGCCGGTACTCTGCAAAACAGCCTCCACACCGAGGGTATTGCAGAAAACTCACTTCCCCCCAGGACTGTGAAGGAGAACCTTAACGTTCAAGTGTTACTGTTCAGATCACGACACAGATCCTTTTCCTGAATGGAATGACTGAAACCTTTGCGAGTGTCCGCGCGTCCACCTCTCCGCAGGATGCGTCCTGCCTTTGATCGTCCCAAAGAACAAGCCGCAGCCTGCAAGGCACCTTGGAGACGAACACCTGCAGTGTCATTCTGGGTGCTGCCCAGGCAGCTGCAGGGTCATTCCGAGCTGGCCCTGAGAGAAAAGGCACCGAGGACACTTTCAAACACAACACCGGTCTGCTCGTCTAAAATCTGCGCCCAGGTGCAGCCACTGCTGCAGAAGATCTACCTTTCAAAACTCACCTGAGTCCTGAAACTGTTGGTTGTGATTCTCCCAGACCTCCTGGATACGGAGAAGGGCGTCCTCCATCGCCTGGATGTCAGCCTCAGGGCAGTTGCACTGCGGGAAGCTGAACCCACAGCGGCACCAGCAGTCATGTTGCCGGCAGACCAGCTCCCCCTCGGAATTGCAGGTGATGTAGCTCAGGGCGGCGGCCACGAAGCGTTGCCGCAGGTACTCGGGCAGGAGGGCCTGCAGGCCTGCGGAAGCACACCCGGGTCTCCCTCAGCGACGGAGAGCTTCTCCAGCGCCCCTTTCCGACACGGCTGCTCCCCGACTGACCCACCCGTTGCCGCAGCCGCCCCCTGCAGAAGCCCAAATTTTGAGCTCTGGCAAGCCGAGCCAGTGTGCTGGTTGGTGTTTTGTATGTGCACGCATGCACACGTGCGCATACACGCTCCAGCACGTGCCCCCATGGTGCTTCTGTGAGTTGACTGGAGAAAGTGCATATGCATATACAGAAAGAAGAAACGTGGAGCATGGGCCCAAGCCAGCCAGGGCTCGGGCCCATGGCAGAGTCCGCTTGGGGTGGCCCCCGGGGCGATCCTGAGCATCTCCCGGGGAGTGGATCGCAAGCAGTGTGTGCAGGAAGGCAAGAAAGGGCAAGGACGAGCTGCAAATATATATATTATGTGACAGGCAAAGGCTTTCCTTTTTAAAAAGTGTTTCAATAGTTGACACCCTTAAACCTTTGCTTTGTATTTTTATCTGAATTTTACTGATATTGTGTTTTTAAATTGTTGTTCTTATTTTTATTGTGGTTTTTTATCTTATGATTGTGAGCAGCCCAGAGGTGCTGTGGCGCAGCAGGCAGCACACCAATTTCCAAAATGAATGAATGAAGGCTCTGTTCTGTTCCTTCCAAAACCTGCAAAGGGTTTCACGGAGAGTATTCAGCTGCTACAGAGGGAGAGATGGCAAACACAGGACCTGCCTCCTCTCATATAATGACCCAGACCCTGAGGCCACCCCTGGGGGACCTCTCCAGGAGCCCCTTCCGAAGGAGGTGAGGTGGGTGGCTACTAGAAGCAGGGCCTGTTTGGTCGAGGCACCCCAGGTGCGGGTTGCGCTCCCCAGAAAGGTGTGTCTCGTGCCTACTCGGCATCCTCCTTGGTGCCAGGTGAAGACCTTCTTAATCTCACAGCATTTTGACAGTCTAACCTCCAACTTTGCTCTTATATATCCCATTTTATTTCTGTACTGCAGCTTTGCTTCTGTGCTGAATCATTGAATGCTCTTGTGTGTGTGCGTGTGTCCTTTTAACTTTAGTTAACCACCCAGAGAACCTTGGCTATTGGGCGGTATATACCAATGAATTAACTGAAATAAATAAAGCCTCGAGGCTTGTGAGAACCTCCCCACCCGATTGCTGGAGCCGGAGCCTGGGAATGAGGCCCATGGCGTCGTCAAGGCTGAGCCTAGCTGGCTGGCATCCTTCCCTCAAGCAGAAGAGAATTCGCAGGTAGGTCAAAAACGCTGCTTCTGCCTTCACGGGACGGAGGACGGCTAGTCCCGGATACTGGAAAGCCATTCATCCTGGGGTGGACCAAGCCAGGGTGGCCACGTGTCCCATTCGACTGAAGGGAGTCCTCTGCCTGAAAGGCTAGCCACCCCAGTCAGCGATGAGGAGGACGAACCCCACGAAGGGACAGCGGGAAGGGCTGCCCATCTGTGGTCAGGGCACAGCGGCGCCACACACCCCCTTCCACCACCTTCTGGGTGATGGTGAGGCATGCTGTGCTTCTATTCAAATTATAGCCATTCTTTCTAAATGTGTACCCACACAGGTATAATAGTACATGCAAATTTTATGCAAATTACACAGTATTTTCACCTGCTTCTGGGGGGACACAATGCATAAATGCTATTCTAGGTCAACCTCTTCAAGATACTTCATAATCTGTGGTAGTAATTACTACTGCTCGGTTTATAGCACTGTTGAGAGCCACCTTCCGGTCGTGAAATGACCGTAAGGGCGTCCGAAGACTTTTCTCCTTGATTAAGAATTTGTGATAATAAAGAGTAGGCCTGTTCTTCCCCAGATGCTTCCGGCCTCGATCCCCGGGGAGAGCCTCAACTGGCCATGCGTGCCTGGAGAGCCACCCGGCTTTGGCTGAAAAGGAGAAGGGTGCAGAGCTGGTCGGCACAGCTTGGCTTTCTCCACCCTGGTGAGGGAAGGAAAGGGGGTCCCCCGCTCTGGAAAACAGCAGGCTGAGGAGCTAAACCAAATGCAAGGCCAAGTGGCTTTGGATCCAGGAATACTCAAGCCCTCTCTTCCTTGAGCTTGGTGAAAACACAGAAGACACACTTGGAAAAAGCTCTTTTCGGGATCCATGGTGGTGATCTCCAGCTGGTGTAGGGCGGTTTGGGAATCTTTGGATTTTCTTTGGGGTTTCCAGATATGGGTACCAGAGCACATTGTCTCATGAGTGCCAGGTGTACCCCAACGACAGTCCCTGGGACTGAACCTGGAGGCCCCTGGCAGTGTCTCTCCAGACACACTTCCGTATTGTCTTGCGTCACAAAGGAGATGACCTCAACTTGTGATGTCTGCTGGCAACCACACTGGTGCTGCCAAACATCTGGCTCCCAGCTGCCACCTTCTGCTGTGTGTGCGTGAGAGAGAGAGAGAGAGACTTTCACGAAGATGCCTTCATTTGGAGCATCTTCTTAGCCTCAATCTAAGGCCAGGTGAAGGCGGCACGCAGCCTTCGCAAGCATGGCGGCTGGGATGCTGCTCCGAGGGCCACGGCAGAGGCATGGGCGTCCCCGCTGCACTAGCCTAGCTCTGCCCTGTCGCCCCACTGACTTGTTGGGGAATCTTCCGCATCAGGAGAAGACGGCCGCTCGAGGTAAGGGCCACAAGGCAGACCTCCCGCGGAGCGACCGGGGCCGTCATGCCGCCCCCATGCAGCCGCTGGGAGGTACTGCAGAACAAATGCTGCCAATGGCCTTGGATGCCTTTCCAGCCAAGGGAGCTGGCGAGAGGATGGGCCCAGCAGTAGGTGGGGGGGTCCGGTGGAAGAACCGAGGCGGGGCTAGGCTGCACTTCGGGGCTGGCTGAAGCAGACTGCCATCCACATATGGGGAGCAGGGAGCTGCCGGCTGCCTGTGTGGGGAGGAAGGCGGCTGGGGCAATCTCAGCCGCTTCTGCTGCTCCCCCTGCCCCAGCCTTGCCTAGGAGTGGCTGGGTGGGCATCGTGGGAGGGGACCCCTCATCCTCAGATCTTGTCGGGTGGCCGCTGGTTAGGCACGGGGCTTCTCTGCCTGGCTTTCTTTCCATCTCTGCTACAGAGTGAGGGCACGTGTGTCTATTTGCTTAGTTCGCTTTGCACCAAATCAGCCACTCTGGGGCTTTGGAGAAGGAACGCTTCCTCCTCCAGATGCCAAGGACACTCTCCTTCCAGTTGAGCTCTCCCAAAACGCAAAAAACCGGTGAATGCGCCTCACGAGCACTTGCACGCGCTGTGCCGTCGACACGTGTGAGCCTCAGTGTCACACTGGACGGGCCAGGGAAGCTGCCGAGTGGGTGCTGCATGGGCTGGTGGGTGAATAGACTTGGGGATGATGGGCTTTGCCTGGGCAATGCCGGCAATGCATGTAGAGGCAGCACATTTGATGAGGAAAGTGCATGACGCCTCGGATCAATTTACATTTTACAGCGTCCATTAGTGTGAGGATATGTGTTAAACTGGCAATGCTTGAAGCGCCTCGTCAGCTCCGTCAATGCCAAACTTACCGGCACCTTCCCCAGTGTTTACAGGCGCCACCAGACAACTCGCATCGGCCCCAAGCAATTCTTTCCACGTACATAAAATGTGCGCTTCCTGCCACGCCAGGGAAATGCGACACGCATTCAACCATATTCGTTTTTCTGGGTCTGTAGGAGTCACGTGACTTGGCCAATGGCCAATGGCCTACGGGGTCTCACATGACCCAACTGATCCAGCCAGCACCAATAGGGTTGGCTTTGGATGCAGCCAGGAGAATTCCTGCACGGAAACAGTTTTCGGCTCCTGTGGGAGGCATAGTTCCCACGAAGCTGGATCTGAACCTTTCACAATGCTGGTGGGAAAGAGGTGCCGCTCATCGAATCCAGTCCCCGTTCTCTGGCCCTTCAACCTGTAGCTTCCTAGGAAAAGAAGCAACGTTGGTGGCCGGAAGGTCCCTGGACCACGCCATGCCCTCTGCTACGGGCTGCAGTGTTCTTCACATCACTGCAAAGGCGTGCTCTTCCCACCTTGCACGAGAGTAAGAGCGGCACCCTGTGGGAGGCCAAGGGGGAAGACGCTTACCAAGCAGCTGCACTTTGTTCTCAGGGCTCTGGACCAGCACTGAGCTCACGGAATCCAGGTTGTCATAGTTGCTGCAGCCGAGCGGCCCCGTCCTGGTTTCAGTGACCTGAGGAAGGGAACGGCACACCTGTGAACACCTGAGGGCGACAGCCGAACGGAAGCCTGCCCACCTGCCCCATCCTGCTGGCCGGGACCTGCAGAGGACGCGGCTTATGGAAAACGGAGATATGAAAATGGCATCCCTTTTGGATGGTACGGCAGACCCTTCTGGGCAGCTCGGCCACCGGCGTGCTGGCTGGGCCTGAAGGGAGCGGTCATCAGGGCAGCCACGTCCTACTCTATGGAGGGCGGTTCTTTATCTGAGTCCCGCTCAGGTCAGGCCGGGCATGTCACAGAGGCTCTCCAGCTGGTCTTTAAGGCCGTGCTCACTTCAGGGGCACCCTAAATGAATGGGGCCAGTCCTACGATCCATTCTGCGTCTTCCACTTCAAAACCAAACCCCTCTGCCGGAACACACTCTCCTGCATTCAAATGCACCTCCATTCTGGGGTGGCTGTGTGTCCTACTTTACCGAGGACGGTCCTCCCTTGGAGGAACGGTCCAAGTCCGCTTTAAAGATAAAGAAGTCCAAGAAGGAAGGAAGAGCAAGGCTTGCCTCGAAGTGGCTGAACAACAGGAGTCTCCTGGAGAGCAAAGTATGGTGCGCTGCACTGGATTTTCCACTCAGGGAAGAAATCACAGAATCTTCAACTATATGTATAAATTAGGATCCTGCACACTTACACCCTTTTGCCCCCTCTTCTTGGTGATGCACAAACAGCTACCGTAGGGATGGTCCAAAACATGGCGGCGGGGGGGGGGGGCAGTTTACCTGCCGCCATGGTTCATTCATGAAAGGATGACCTGTGGCTTGAGGAAATGTTACAAAAACCCTTAGCTTTTAAATCTGAAGCTTTTTTATTAGGCATTGTACCGGAAGATATTAGTAATCAAGAAATGTATTTGACTTTGCATGTAATCACTGCGGCGAGGATTGCATTCGCTCAACACTGGAAAAGTGAAGAACCACCCACCGACGAACGGATTCTAAAAAAGATCCTGGACTGTGCAGAAATGGATAGATTGACTTTATCACTGAAGGAGAAGGAAGATACTGACTTCTATCAAACTTGGGATTTTTTTATTATTGGCTGGAGAAACAGGACTTGGCTTAGATTTAAAGATGTTTTTAAGTTATTATAAATGGATTTGAATATGACTATAGAATGTTAAAAAAAATTGAGTAGGGGGCTGACCCAGTATGTCTGATGTATTTGATGATCGATGTTTTTAGTGTTAGTTTAAAAATCTTAATAACATTAAAAAAAAAAAAAATGAAAGGACGACCTGGAAGCAGTCCAGGGGCCAGCAGGGCAGGCTTCCTCTTCCGTTCCAGCCAAGCCAGGCTGTGGTCTCTGGGCAGAACCCAGCATGCGCCTGTGAGGAACCTCACTTGCCCCAATCCGCAAGCTCCCTTCTCTCCCGGAGACGGCCCGGAGGCCGCGACCCCAACCAGCCACAGCGAGCATGCTTGGAACAGACGCCTCTTTTCCTTTTGAATTGCTCATCTCCGACAGATCAAAGGACAGCGCTCCGGACCATGCTGTAAATCAGGGGAAAGCGCCGTGGGGCCAGGTGGTCTTTCTCGGGACCCGCCGAGATCACTACCCTCCCACTGAAAACAAAAAAATCAGCACATCCTCTGACAAGCAGCTGGGACTGCTCTCAAGAGTGTGTGGGGGGGGTCTCTAGCCGCCTTCAGTGCCCACTCATGTCTCGGCTGGGCCACTCGGGGCTCGGAGATGCTCCCAGGAAATGAAGATGGTGAGAAGCTGCAGGACAATTTGCGGGGTGTGTGCAGCTAATGGGAAAAGTGAGGCGGCGGAGAAAAGGCACACGGTTCGCTTCTGTCCAGTAACACGGGAGGCCAGCGGAGGCCGAGCCACGAGGCCCCGGCGTCACAGTGCAGGGGCAGCTAGGAAGGGCCGGGGTAGGCCAGCAAGAAGCCCCGGTGGCTGGCCGCTTCAGCTGCGTGAGACGAGGAGGAGGGGGAACCGGTTTTGAGGGGATCGGGAGGATCCTGGGAAAGAGGGGCTGTGGCTTTCCACAAGCTTGGAGTGAGCGTGCGTGATTGATCGGTAGGGTGCTGGGGGGGGGGGGTGCTGATGGCGAGATGTCAGGGCAGTGACCCAAAGGGTGAGACTGAGCTGACCTGCCGGGAGGAAGAGCAGAAAGGGGAGGCGCTGGCCTTGGGTGAAAGAGCCGTCCGCTGCCCCGGAAGGCAGCGAGCCCGAGTGTGCCGGCCCCACCCCGGCCGTGCCCTCCACCTCTTGCGACTGCCTCGCCCGTGCGAGGGGGCGTGCCTTCCCCGGCAGCTCTTGCTGGGGGGCTCCCATGGCGTTTGCTCCAATGCCAGTTGACCTGTGGGCCCAGAACCTTGCCCGGCCCTGCTGTCCACCTGGCCCGCCTCCTGCTGAAGGGAGTTGCTACCCAACCTGTCGCCGCCACACCGGCAAGTCTTGCTCCCGCAGTCACCTGTGGCACTATCCATATCTCCCCTGGAATAAGCAACTGCTCTGAAGTAAGCGCAAGCTTCTAGAAGCAAACATGCAGCCTCCCGGGCCATGGAGAATGCCTGGGGCTCCCGTAGAGCCAACATGCGAGCCGTGCCCTCCAGGAAGCACCTCTAGGTTTTTGTTTCATAAAATCTGAAGCTTCTGCCATGGCAAGGGGCTTTGGATTGGGGGGTGCTTGGGAAGGAAGGGGGAGCACAGCCCCTGACTGCTTGTCAGTTCCAAACTGCTCTCCTGGAGCTGTTTTACTCTTGAAGGTACAGCTGCAGCAGTGGGTTGATCCAGACTGGGAATGCCTCCAAAAAAGAGGCTGAGCGTTCACTGCTGGCCTGATCAGGGTTCCCCCAGCAACTGCATTACAATTTTTCAAACCAAACTCTTGGGAAATGCACCATGTATCTGTTGCCTTGGACCTATTTTGGCCCACAAGTGTTGATTCCTAAGCCTAAACCTTCAGCCCAGGCTCTCCGAGGGAACTTGGCCTTCTCTGGCATTCATGACTGATGCAGCTCTGTCCCCGTCCCAAGGTTGGCAAGCCCTGATCTCCCAAAAGGAAGAGGCCCTCCCTGCCGGCTGGTTCCCCTTTTCGAAAGGGTGCAGATGGGAAAAGACAGTGATGAAATCTTTAGAAATGCATCCATTTGAATGTTGATAGCGCCAGCTTGCAGCGAACTGGGGTGGAACGTGACATCATTTCAGTATAAATTAATTTGTGAAGCCATATGGTTTTCTTCTCAATTTTATACGCAGAAGCGAGGCTGCCGAGCAGGAGATTTGGGGTGCCTGGAACGACGGCAGGGCAGGAGGCGGCCCCTGTGCCAGGAGGCAGGGTCCAAAGGGCTTCTGTGCACGCATCGCCCAGAGCAGGGGAGGAGCGCAAGAGCGATGTCCGCCTCAGGTGGCTGGCGTCTCCTTTCATGAGGCTTGCTGGGGAAACATTTCCGGGGAACGGCGCTCCTGTGGAGATGCATGCAGGCAGGCAGGGGCAGCTGCATTCCCTGTTTGCAGAGTGACATCCCCATCAGCCTCCAAACTTCAGTTTGGAGCAGCAACATGGAGAGCCAACAAAAAGGGGCATGAAATGCAGGCAACGCGGGAGCCGCGGAGCCGCGGAGGTGCTTTGCAGACGAGCACCAAGTGCTCCAGGCCTCGGACAAGGCCACGCGGCTCGTTCTGTTCACAGAGAATGGCCCCACCTGCACCCAAAGACGCACGGCATCGTTCGCAGGGCCAGGTCCCCAGAATCGGCACAAAGGCGCAGTTGCGGCTGGCTCCAACTCACTCCCTTCCTCGCTGCCCCTCCTGTTTCCTTGGCGGCAGGGAGTTGAGGAGGATGCCGACGGTGACGGGTTTATAACTGCAGGCCCCGGGAACCGATCTCCGGGGTGGCGGCCCTGCTCAAGCAACCTGCAAATTAAAATCCAGGCGCACGGAGGGGTGGAGCGGAGAAGGAACGCCAGTTCTGCAGAGAGAACTGGGAAATGAGCGTCTTTTCTGGGCAGGAGCCTGGCTCATGCTCTGCACTCCAGAGGGAGTGCCAAGGGTGGGGTGCTTCAGTTTTTCCCTCCCCAGGACGTGCGGTTGGAAACGAGGACAGGCAAAATATGGGCAGCAGCGGAAGGCAACCTGGGAGTGGACCCATATGGACTCGCTTGCTCCTCTCGGATATTGCGACACAACAAGGCACAGTGGTTCTGGTTCTTCCCCTTTGTTGGTCTGTGTCTTCTGAACTTCACCGTGGTGCCCACATGGTGTGCTTGGTCTTTAAAAGCCATGAGCAGCAACCACAGCTGTTCCATGGTCCCTCTGTGCTGCGACATCCGAACCCGGAAAATACGACTCATCACAGTACTGAGGCCAGAATCGCCGAAAGATGGAATATCAGAGTTGGGAGGGAGCTCTCAGGCCCCCGAGTCCAGCCCCTTGCTCAACGCAGGACTCCAATTAAAGCATCCTCAGCGGATGCCCGCTCTCTTGCCAAACAGCGAGCTGGAGAGCGCCACTGGCGGCCGCCATTTTGCATGGCTCTCAAAGGAAACGCCACTCCTCTGGCTTCCCACCCCAAAGATGAAGGGATGGGTGGACAGCCGGGTGGAGCGGCTGATTCCCCCCTCTTCTGTCTGAGTGTGGATTTGGCACCCCCACCCCCTCCAGTGGTCCCCTCTGGCGTGGGAGGCGAGAAGGTACTCTGCTCTCCTGCCCTTCAGGACATGGGCCCCACTTGGGCAGCAGGTCTTCTCACAGCGGTGGTGAGCCGAACAGGGCTTGCGCTGCAGCTGGAGGCAGGAGAAGGAAGGCTTCGCACCAGGAGGTAGACTGTGGCAACCACATGGGCTCCCTTGTGGGGATGTGTGAACCCAGCCAATTCCCTGTTCCCTGGTTTGGAAAGAGAGTGCCCTGGGAAGTACTGGAATTGCACCTGTCCCACTGGCTGAGCTGGGAGAGGGAGAAGACGGTGTAGGCCAGGCCACAGTGTTGCTCGTGGTTCCAAAGGTCTTGGGCGGCAGAGCACAGTGCCCTTCGAGAACCGCCGCCACAAGGAGTCAGCTCCGTGTGAGCTGGACCTGTGCGCACAATTTGGACACCTCTGCTTTCGTTTACCTGCTTTCGGACTTGTTTGGAGCTCCATTTTTGTCAGCCCCAAAGGCTCAAATGGAACAAGAACCTTGCTGTGTAGTAATTGTTATGCAAATGAGTTTGCTTGTAATGCAGTGATTCATATCGCAGGTGGACAATAAGTGTAAAGATGTACCAGTGGGAAAGTAACCATGTTTTCATGCTACTTGCTTTTGGAGTGTGGTGGCATCTTAGGTACAACAGAGAATTGGACTTTATTTTGAGAAGGCTGCTGAAAATAATTCCTTTTCTAAACGTGCCTAACAACCAGGATAAAACCATGAATTAACTGTTTTAAAACAACCTCTGCAGTCTAATCCTAAAACACCAAAACTGCAGCAGAAAATGCACTAAGAAATGCCACCAGCCACCAGCCAGCCATGCCTCCTTCCAGAATACTCCATTCCATGCATTATGCTGTTTGTGGGTTACACCTCCCCACCAGCCAGTTTGAGGTTTAAACCTATTTTTCCCTGCAAATCTTGGGGCTCCCCAAAACCAACCAAAACCGTCCTCCGTGCATGCATAAATGAAGCTGCTTTAGCTGAGCCTGGGAAGCCCGGTGGACCTGCACCTCTGAGCCAGGCCCCGCACGCCGCGCTCTTCCCAGCTGCCCGCTGTGCCGTGCCTGAAATTGCCCTGAGTGCAACGGAGAGCGTTTGAGGGAGGCGGCCCCCACGAGGAACTGCAGCCAACGGGGTGCCTCCTCCCCACACCCCTTTTCTCGGCGGCTGCAGAGGAGCAGTGCGCACCTGCCTGGACAGCACGGCAGGCCTTCCCGGGGCAGCCAACACTTGGCCAGACATGCAGGCCCTGCCGAGAGCGTTGCCCAAGGGTTCAGCAGCCCAGCTGAGGCCCACTGTGTCGTCTGGAGTTTCTGGAGGTTTGTCGACCACTCAAGTAACCCCCCCAACCAGGTTCACACCACACTACAAACCCCTGGCTGGAGGGTGCATAATGATGGATGAGGCTATGGCACCCCAAAATTTAAGCACCCATGATGGGCTGCCATGTCATCCAAGTTGGCCATCATCCTCTTCATCTTCATATTCTGCCTTTCTTCCTCTCGCAAGGACCCCAATGCAGCTTATGAAATTCTCCTTTCCCTTTCCCAAAGTCACCCCGAGAGCTCCAGGGCCAGGTGGGGACTCGAACCTGCACCTCCGGAGTCTCAGTCCAGCACTCTTAACCATTGTGCCACACTGCCTCTCCCCGCATGCCATTCGGGGAGTCATTGCCGATGGGAATGAAAAGGGCAGGCTAAATCGTATCCTTCCACATTTATGCCGGCAGAAGTAGCGAACCCCAAAACATGGAACTCCCCACTCCGTGCGGTCATGTTGACGACTCTTCGGTTTTTGTTCTCCACGACGACACATTGGTCATGGTTGGGTGGCTCACAAGCAATACGTGTGAGAATAAAAACCGAATGCTCATTTGTCTTCTGGCATCCCGAGATGGCGACATGGATGTTCTTCCCATTTCCAGCAAAACTGGACAATGGACAGCAGAGAAGGAAGCATTACCAGCAGCCCGGCTAGCTCAGTTGGTAGAGCATGAGACTCTTAATCTCAGGGTCGCGGGTTCGAACGCCATGTTGGGCGGCAGATTCATTCTCCCGGGGCGCCGGTCCACTGAAAGGAGCTGCATTCTTATTACCCCGCCTTTGTAACCACAACATGCAAAGCTGCTCCTCCTGAAATAACCCATGCCAGGTCCCTGACTCTCCCCCAGTTCTGAGCTTAAAGGTCTGAAATGGGAGCAACCGGCCTCTACACCAGGTCGTGATCGTGGGAAACGGCAGTGGTGCAGTGGAGGCGCAGAGCACGGGGGGGGGGGGGCACCAGGACATTGAAATGGCGGGGCGGGGCCCTCACCTGCCATGCACCTCAGGCTTCCCAGCTCCCGCAGAACTTAGCTGCAATCCTTCCCATGCCGGGACGGGAAAGACGCTTCCCCAGAAGCAGCATCTTATTGCGAGCTATTCTGACTGCAAAGCAAGGTATTTCGAGAACAGTTTAGCTGCAAAGATCCATCTGCTCTGCAAAAAGACCAGCTCCTCGGGGAGATCAAAACTGCTAGAACGCCTTCCTTGACTCAGAGATCAAGCATTTCTCCCTGAGGCTGGGAAAAGAAACTCCTGCAAAATCCAGCGCCAATGGTCTTGATCTGCATGAGGAACTGGCACGCCCCTCCCCTTCCGTTTCGCGGGCAATCTCAGTCTCTCCAGCCGGGATCCACCAGGGGAACCTGCCCCGTCCTGCACCGGCTTGCTCCTCAGAGATTGCCGCCTGGGCATCATGGCTGTTCGGCGAATATGGACACACCTGCGTGCGCAGTGCCGCACACACAGGTAGCTACAGATCAGCACAGCTGCCCAGATGTTTGGCCTTTTCCTGGGGTCTGTGGCTACGGGGCCAGCCTGCTCCGATAAACCTGCTCATTCACTCCTGTTGAAGAAACCACCTCGCTGCTGTGGAACAGCGAGCGTGCGCTTGCTCACCCATCGCAGAACGGGGAGCCCTGTCGCTGAGCAAGCCTCACGGGTCTCATCTCCCTGCTCTGAAAGGGAAGAAGTCCACGCGCCAGGTGGCTGCACGCCCGAGCCTCTCCCCCAGCCAGTCCCCTGAACTAGTGTTATGGAATCAGGAGTCGTCCGCTGCTGGAACAGGAGGGAGGCAGGTCCAGGCCGTGGCCTGGCATGCTTTCCACCTGCTGCAGCATGCAAAGAACCCACAGCCCCCTTTCATGGGCACCGGGGTCAGCTCACCATCGTTCCTACCACCGCCACGTCTGGACCGAAGTTCACACATCGCGCCCTATCTGTGCACCGCCCGCGCCGCTGAGCTGCACCTCAAGCTCCTTTCAGAGTTTCGCTCCGCCCTTGCACCGACCGCCCTGCTCGGGTTACCTTGATGGCTGCGGTCGCGATTTGGATGTGGTGGAGACGCCGCAGCGTGCTTTCGCGGTCGATGAAGTAGGAGGCAGCCAGCTGGTGCAGGGTTTCCAAGGAGACCGTGGCGTTGCTCCCACCGCTTCCAGACGGACCGCCAGCTTCTGCTTTCCGGCTGAGCTTGCGCTTGTCCACAGAAATGGTCAGGGACTCTTCCCCTGCAGAGACAGGAGGCGCCTACTTAGCTTGCCCTCGGGGGGAACCCAGGAGCCCCAAGAGCAGTGACCCTCCCCTCCGCGGACTGATGGGGGACAAAGAGCTGGCAGCTACGGACCCAACTGCCCCCACCCCACGCAGGGACCGAGTCCCCAAAGCAGGCGGATTCCGGGTGTTCCGGAGGAGACGCAGCCCACGCTGCTTGGCATGCTGTCCCTCACCCGGCAGCCTGGGTAACCCAAGGAGCGGGGAGTTCATGCTGCTCCCGAGGCCTCTGGGAACGAGCCCACTGCACTTGCTGTGCGAGGTGTCGTCTTGCTAGGATAATCGGGCGTCCGTTCAGGGAGCTTTCACTCCACAAATGAACTAGGCCAACTTTCCGCCTCCTGCAGTTCCTTGCTATAGAGCACAGGCGGGGTCAGAAGAGAAGCCCTGCTGGGTCAGGCCCAGGGCCCCAGCCAGCTGCCCACGGGGCCCCTCCAGCAGGAGGGGTGCAAGGCCACAGCCTGGCTAGGCTCCTTAGCAACCGGGGGAGGCCAGCAATGGAGGGTGACGGAGGGAGCATGCAGCCAGCGAGGAGCCACGGGGAGAGAGCCGCCTCCTCCGTGAATCTCTCCAATCCCCTTTCACAGCCATAAAAATGGGTGCCCCCCCCTCTTAGTGGCAGGGAATCCCACGAGTTGAACCACCCAGTTAGAAATGGAACACGCTGCTCTGCATGGCTAGCAACAGAGTGGTTAGACCAGGGGCGCAGCGCGCACAATCCGCCAGCAGGACCGGCTTCCCAGCATGCTGCCTTCCCCAGCGCGGCACCCTCCAGGTGCTTCAAGCGACACCTCCCCGGAGTCCTGGCCCCTGGCCATGCGGCCTGGAGCTGCTTCCCCATCCATGCACATCCAGTCCAAAACACCGCGAGGGCTTCCGACGAGGGGATGCCGCCACCCAGGACAGGTTGCGCGCACACCCTTGTGCACAGCGACTGGGGAGCAACCCGCTCAGCCCCAGGCCTCTTCCTCCTCGGGAGAAACACCCAGGAGCACCGGCTTTCATGTGCTAGTGTTCACAAGTCAGCGTCAACGTCGCCCAACGGCCTGCTCTCCTGCAGCTGCCACGCCAAGCGACGCTACGCCCCTTCCAAAAGTGCCCGGGCATGACTCATCTGCTGCAGCATCGTAAGCCTAGGTTTTGCGGGCATCACAGAGAAAGCTCACAGCAGCAAGCTGAACACACCTCCCAGAGTGGCTGAGAGCAGGAAGTGGGTCCCGTATTTTTTAATCAGGTTCTCCGTGATCTGCTGGAGGCTGGGCCGGCGTCCCAGAAGGCGAATGTTGCGGATGAATTCTGGAGCCAGAGGCAAAGGCAAGCCGAAGAAGTCTCTGCGTTCCAGTGCCAGGTTGTTCACCTTCCAGCGAGCAAATTCTCTGGAGGGAAAGCCAAGAGATACAACCAGTAAGGTAAGAATATCTAGAAGTCCCCAGGACCGTTTCTAAAGAAATTCAAAGAGAAACAAGTGTCTAACCCCTCAGAGCAAGCCTTTGAAAAAGTGCCGGCAGATTTTGCTAAATATTTTGGGCACATCTACGTTCTTTTTACACGCACAAGTCTTCCTTTGTGTTGTGCCATTTAGAATCGCCGCGGAAAGAGAAATGCTCTGTTGACGCCACCTGTCTGTCATGCACAGAGAACATCCTGACGGAGTGACAGCTCAATTTGCATGGTTTGGGATGATGGAAGGACTGAGCTGAGCCGAAGACCCTAAAATCAGAACGGGCCATACTGTGTTAGATGGACCAATTCATGGACCTGGCATGAAGCAGTTTCGTGGCAAGAAGCGGGTGGCCGTTGCAGGTTTAGACTAGCGAGGCGGGAGGAGTCTTGCTTGGGGGTTTGTAGGGCTTTGGGTGGGTTCCCCAAATTCTGCCCTGAATCTGCCTCACGTTGAGTGTCTGCACAGACAGGTGGCAGGAAAGGAGTCCAGTTGCACAGAGATAACGAGCGAGGCCCATGGGCGCACAGGCGGCTTGCCACCCACTTGCCCGCTGGGCAAGCAGAGTTCTGCTTCGGCACACTGGGCTCGCAGGCTTGGCAAACTCGTGCGAGAATTCAGCGCAAAGAAGGGGGCCGCCAGTGCTCCTGAGCGTTCGCAGGCTTGCTCTTGGCCTGGCCGCTTCCGAGGCCAGGGCTTGGCACGGGAAAGGAGTCTGGCGAGCACATGGGAGGCAATGTCTGGGCAGCCTCGCCACGGCCGGGCTAGGCAGACAAAAGGCTTGGGGCTCCCTCCCAGCTGGGCTCTCCAAGGCAGGCTGGCATTTCTGGCAGACTTCAAAGGCCAGTGGGGTCCAGGTATCAGGAGCAGGTGGGGGGGGGGTGCATTTTCCTTCCCCCAAAGATGCACGAACTCCTGGAAGAGTCACAGCAGACGGCTGCACCTCTGCTTAATTCTAAGCCAGGTCGCCAGAAGCAAGCATGGTGCCACCGGGCTGAGTCCATTCCCTGGTGGTCCTGGTGCATCCCCCTGCAGACCCCCCCCCCCAGAACAGCTTCAGGGCAGGTGCCCCCGCTCTTTGGAGAGACACAGGGGGGCGCAGGGGGAGGGCAAAGGTGACCTCGGCAGCCCTTCCGCCAGGGCAAGTGGAGCTGTGCCGGGGTCACGCTGCGGCTGCCACAGGTGTCTGCTCCAAGAGCGATGGAACAGCGACGCACGCGTAGCTTCCCCTCTGTAGGCGCTGGCCACGATATGCAGGGTTGTCTTCGCAATTTAAAAAGCTGAAGGAACTGCAAATCTGGCAGAAGGCATTGCTCTTGTGTGAAACACCAGCTCCTCTTTCCCTGTACGAAGGTTTCAACTTGTGCAGGTGGTGCCCGGAACCGAACAATGCCGAAATAATGCACGAAGTGACTTCTTTCAAGTAAACAGCTAGCGCCTAATGCCAAGCAAGAAGGCATCACATTAGACAGAAGTGCTGGTTGCGATGTGTCAAAGTTTTACCTGGGGAGGGGGCTTCCCATGAACAGGAACTGAAATGGGCCCCCAGCTGACTTCCCATTAGGGCTGGGTGAGGACCAGTAAAGGTTGGACGCCGAATGATTGCTGCTTCATGTGTTTAATATTCAAAAACAAAAACAGGTTGCTTACCTGTAACTGATGTTCTTTGAGTGGCCATCTGTGCAGTCACACATATGGGTGCTGTGCCTGCGCAGTGCCTTCGGCCGGAAGATTGATAGCTAACGGTTTTTGGTGGGAAGCTCCGCTCCCCCTCCCCAGTATAGGTTATATAGAGTGAAGCGTCCGCCATTTTGTTCAGTCTTTGAAGACCGAACGTTCGCCCCCATGTGGAAAGAAAGGATCTCTACTATAGATAATATAGGCACCATGAAAGAAAAACGTTTCGGTACCTATGAAAATATTTCCACTCACCGACACCGAGCGGGGCCGGCAGGTGGGTTGTGTGGCTGCACAGATGGCCACTCGAAGAACATCAGTTACAGGAAAGCAACCTGCTTTTCTTCGTCATGGCCTCTGTGCATCACACATATGGGTAGATTAGCAAGCTTACCCTTATCGGAGGAGAGAAGGTGTCTTTAGCGAAGGATAGACAAGAGAACAGCTCTACCGAAGGAGCAGTCTTGTCTGGCCTGAACATCCATCCGATAATGCGTAGCGAATGTACACGGCAGAGCCCAAGGGGCAGCTCTACAGACATCATCAACTGGAACTCCCAACGCAAAGGCAGAAGACGTGGCAAAAGCTCTAGGAGAATGACCCCTTGGCATTGTAGGCAAGTCAATCCTAGCCAGCTGATAGGAGAGGATAATTGTATGGACTATGCACTTGGAGAGTCTTGGAGGGGTAACCGGAAGGCCCTGATTTTGCTCAGAGTATTTGAGGAAAGGCTGTTGGAATGTCGAATAGACTCAGTCCTTGATCTGTAAAAGGCCAGGCAGCGCCGTACGTCAAGTGTGTGCAAGGATCTCTCTAGTGGATTCGTGGGAGATGGAAAGAAGGCCGGTAAGACAATGTCTTGTCCCATGTGAAAAGAAGTGACCACCTTAGGAAGAAAGGATGGATCCATGCGTAAGACAACTTTCTCCCTGCGGAAATTCAAATATGGAGGATCTACCCGCAAAGCACAGAGTTCACTAGCTCTTCGAGCCGACGTTACTGCAACAAGGAATGCCATTTTCCAAGAGACAAGACGCAAATTGATTGTCGCCAAGGGTTTGAAAGGAGCCCTTGTAAGCGCTTGTAAGACCACAGAAAGACTCCACGTAGGCATCACTGGTCAAACTGTCAGGTTAAGGTTATAAAGTCCTTTAAGGAATCTCTTTATAAGTGGTTGAGAAAAAATGGGTGCGCTTTGAATTGTGCCACGGTAATAGGAAATTGCTGCCATATACACTTTTATAGAAGACAGCTTCAGTCCGGAATGGTGAAGTTCTAATAGGAACTGAAGGATTTGATGTATGGATGCGGAGAGTGGGGGAAACGAACGAGACTCGGCAAAAGTAGAAAAATTTTGCCATTTAGCTGCGTATGACTTCTGTGTTGATGGTTTTAAGATGTGCTGAATGTCCGGAGGAAAAGTTGTCGAATCCAAGGAAACATTCACTGAATCCGACGACGTGGGGAGGACGAATGGATTTGAAACGTGGAGCAACATGTTGGATCCAGGAGCAGGAACCAAATCAAGTGTAAATACTGTTGGTACCAAGCTAGTTGTTATCGGATTCGCCAGACTGTCAATTTCAGCGACGTTAAATCTGGATGGCAAATTGTGCCTCCTCGCTGGGTTATGAGATATGGAATGAGTGGAAAATGAAGATATTCTGCTTGAGAGATGTGAAGAAGTGTCGAGAACCAGGCCTGGCATGGCCACCAAGGGGTTATGAGCAGTCCCGTGGCCCTGTCAAGGATTATCTTCGATATCACTCTCATAATGAGGGGAATAGGAAGAAAAGCGTAAAAATTCAGATCATTCCAAGGGATCATGAAGGCGTCCCCTAATGACCCCTGTCCGATTCCGGCTCTCAAGCAAAAAGTCTCACATACCCTGTTCTGTCGGGTGGCGAATAAGTCTATGTCTGGGAAACCCCATCGATGGAAGAGGTGAGCGCGTGTCTGGGGGTCTAGTTCCCATTCGTGGGATGTGGACATGTGTCTGCTCAGAAGATCGGCTACCACATTGTCCGTGCCGGCAAGATGTGCTGCCACCAGAGTAATGTCTCTCGGGATGCACCATTCCCAGATTTGTATCGCTAGTCTGGCCAGAGTCGGTGACTTTGTCCCACCTTGCTTGTTCTGATAAAAGACTGCAGCAACGTTGTCTGAAGTTATCTGAAGGACTCGCTGGCGAAGAACATCTTCGAACGAACGTAGAGCCTTGAATACAGCCAGGAGTTCCAAGAAGTTGATATGATTCTTGGATTCTCGGTGATTCCAAACGCCTTGAGTGCATAGATCTGAACACACTGCTCCCCATCCCAGTAGGGATGCATCGGTACCGAGAGTCACTGAAGGGCATCGTGGTCGGAATGGAGCCCCCACGGTTAGGTTGGCCAGAACCAACCACCAGGGCAGAGAGTGGAGAACAGAGGATGGAATCTGAATCAACTTTGTCGGAAGATCCCTCTGTGGCCGAAACATTTTGTTGAATAAAAGCTGCAGAGGACGAAGGCAAAGTCTGGTGTGTGGGGGCCACGACAACTGATGCAGCCATGTGCCCCAAGAGTCTCTGGATGGACCGGGCAGGAACCGTCATGTCTCGTCGCATTCGATGGATGTGCCGGGCAAGAGTCTGTTGTCTCTCCCGAAGAAGGAAGGCCTTTGTCACCGTAGAATCTAGTCGGGCTCCGATGAAAGTAATCGTCTGTATCGGGAGAAGAGAAGATTTCTCAGTATTAATACATAGTCCAAGATCCTCTAGCAGGGCACAGGTCGTACGTATCGAGGCAAGAAGTCCCTGTCTGGTTTGGGAGACTAGCAACCAGTCATCAAGGTAAGGGTAAATTTGCACACCCCACAGCCGTAAAAAGGCACAGACAGGAGCCATACACTTGGTAAATACTCTCGGAACAGTAGCCAGTCCGAAGGGCAACACTGTGAACTCAAATAGTTGGGATGCGACAGCAAAACGAAGGAAACACCTATGACAGGGGTGAATGGAAATGTGGAAATAAGCGTCCTTCAAGTCCAATGAGGCAAACCAATCCTCTTTCCTCAGCAACGGTAGGATATTTTGAAGGGTGGTCATCCTGAATTTTTTCATTGTACTAAACCAATTAATATTTTGCAAGTGCAAGATTGGACAAAGACCACCATCCTGCTTTGGGACCGTAAAATATCTCAAATAGAATCCGTGAAGTCCGTCCGTCTGAGTTAATTGACAAATCGCTCCTTTACGAAGAAGTTGTTGAACTACAT